ACACATCTGCTCCTCCCACCCCGCACTCTGCGCTTGAGCCTTAGCACTGCCTCCTAGGACAAGGTGCCTGTGAGGTACCAGAAATGAGTGCATGAACTGGACTTTTCCTGCCAGAAGAAATTAGGGGTAGAAACCCAGACTCCCGTCATCATCTTTGCACCTAGGTATGCCAGTCCTGCTGTCAGCCCCCTCACTGTTGCCTGGGGTTGGCTTAGCAGAATTACACAAAACAGCAAGCAGGGGAAAACAGCAACCTATGGACTTAGCAAGGCCTGGGTGAGGAGAGATCGGAGAGGGAAGTGGTGTCACGAAGCACCCAAGGAAGTTTTTTTTTTTTTTTAAGTTTAGCCCCCTTGATTGGAGCTGAGCCAGCTGATACAGATGGGGTGTTACAAAACAGAGCCAAAGGCAAGAGCGCAAGGAACAGAGCTATCTATAACCCAGACAAAGTTAGATGGAGTGAAGGTGGGGAAGAGGGAAACGCAGAGCGTGGCAGGCAGCTCCTAATGCTAAAAGCAAGGACATGATCATTCGACAACAGGATTTAGAACTGATCAACTCCAGCTATCCAGCAGCCAGATAAGGCTCTGTGGCTGTCAGCTTAACTCTGCCGTTTATTCCCGTGCTGTAGGGAGTTAAAATAGAGCACACGGAAAGCTTGCTGCTGGGGAGTGAAAGTCAAGGAGGGAGAGGGAAGGAAGAGACTGTAATTGGACAGTGCCCTGGAGTCGGGTGGAAGTGGCTGCGGGCAGAGCCCCTCCAGGTAAGTGCTCGCAGCTTTTCATCGTCCTTGTCGATACGGAGAGCTGGAGGCGGGAGGCTTCAGGGGGTGGCATCTAGGACAGAGCCATCAATATGAGGGAGGCTGAAAGTCTCCTTCTCAGCCGGTGCGAGCAAAAACACTGAATGGGGACAGCTATTTGTTGAGGCTTCTCCTTTAGCAGGGACTGCAGGCAAGGCACTCCAGCTGTGCTCGGGGAGTGGGGGGCTGCAGTGGGGAAAGGCTGGAGTTGTTCTGGTGCTGGGCGAGGTATTCATCTGTTTGGTGCATTGGCATTTGGATAAATAATCTAAATAGCTTGGCTAAATGTGCTAGTCCAGGCACTGAAGCTGCTCGACTTTATCATTGGGATGCTAATTTAAATATGACCTGGTGATTTACGCTCCTATATAAAATAAATCAGTCACGGGAACCTGGGGGAGGGAGAACAGCTGGCACGTGCATGGGGAGTGTGTCCCAGCGGGAGCACAACGCCCATCGAAAATAAAGGCTGTGAACACTGTCAGCCCCCGTGGAGGAGGACGCAGGACAGTGCATTTCTGTACCTGGATGGAAATATGTCCATCTAACTGCTGCTGTAACTGTGGGTGGCATATCAGAGAGCAAGCAGGGGGACAGGAGGGTCTGTGCTGTTTCCCCTTTTCCTGCTTCCCTCTATCCAAGAGGGAAGAGGGAGGGAAGGAGGGACCTGTTGTCAGTCACTTATTGTCAGGGGAGAGTTTATGGTCTTTGGGTTTCTAATTAGACTGAGCATTTTGCCTTCTTCTAATTAAGATGTAATTCCTCTCTTTTCAACACACCCACTCAGTCTCCCCCGCCCGAGGTCCTCCCTTCTCCTTGGAGGCCCCCTTGCTCTTCAGCTCCTGCAGTTGCTGCAGTGTGAAATCCCCAAGCTGAAGCTGTGCTCTGCTCAGCCCTGCTCTAACACCACATCCATTCTACCTTAAAGCAGAAAGGAAGCACTGGTGGGGAGTGTGGGGGGAGAAGTGGCTTGGCAGCCACTAGCACCCAAACGGCGGTGAGCCCAAGCCGTGTGTCCAGGAGCAGGATGCACAGCTTGTGCAAGAAGGAATGAGCTGGAGACTGTTGCCCTAGCAGGGTCACCTCAGCAATTCATCAGGTTAACCTTGAATGTGAGGCTAATGTAGCTGCTGTGGCAGGCTATTCAAGCACAGGCTTGTCAACGTGGCACACATGTGAATAAGGCCTTATTTCTTTACCATGAGGTTTAAAATGAATTAACATCTTGCTGTACCTCTTGAAACACCCTCCATCTCTCCTCCAGAATGGGGTTGATGCCTCAAAGGCAAAACACTAGGTGGGGAGGGGAATGAAAACATTGAGCCTAGCCCTGCCTCCTGTGCCCAGGGGACTGAATCCCATCCGTTCTCCTCGGCTCTTCCCCTCCAGGATCTGACAGGCAGGCTGCAAGGTCATTCCTCCACCCCCTGGGGCCGTGTGCCAGGCTGGCTGGTGGATGTGAAGACACGCTGGAGAAGACAACAATGCTGCCTATGAGTGCTGGCCACCGGTGGAGGAGCAGCTTCCCCATGAGGTGGCGAGAGGCTTGCCGTAAGTAATACCCACTCAGGTACTAAGTACGATGCTCCTGCTTCTCAGGGGAATGGAAAGAAAATAGGTCATGTCAGGGTTAAGAATAGGGGAGAGGGACAGCTAAGAATGGAGATGTTTGAACTAATTCCTGATTCCTTTAGAGGCCAGGCTAGCTGGGAGGGAGAGCGAGACTAAAGCTGAAGATGGGCTTAAAGTGGGACAGTCAGCAATGATTGCTTCTGAGTTCTAGAGGGCCTGACACGTGAGAAACAGCGAGACAGATACCACTGCACAAAGATCCACCCCAAACACTTCTCTGATCGGCACCCTGTAAGCAGCAGACTCCTGTCTGTGGTAAGGGTTTATACGTAGGTTGCTGAGCACGGCTCCCAGCTCTCCATGGCAGAGAAGTCATGACAGATTTTAGAAGTGAATACAAGATTGGAAAGCAGTATACTCCTACTGGGCACTGCCATTTGTAGCAAAAATCAAAGAGTAAATAAAGAAGACTTTCTTTAAACTAGAACATAAAAGTCCTTTAAATTAAAACAAAAGTTCAGCCTGTTAGTCTTCCCCGTGGACCAGGGCATCTGCTATAGTACCTCCGAATGCAGAGCACAGACTACTAGGCTGCTGCGGGGCGTTAGAGAACATACCTGCACCTTAGAAAAACATCTGAGGATCATAGCAGAGGAAAGGGAGCACTTGGAGAGCACCCGTTGCTATCGCGTGCCCAGGCAGCCAAGCAGATCTGCGGTTTCCCTTGCTCCTGCCCTCCTGATCAAATTTGGGACAGCCACTATAAGAAGCTAGGGGAATTATTTCCTTCTCCAGAAGAAAAGGCATCTTTGTAATCCACCCTCACAGACTAGACTGCTGTATAAATTATTTACAATGAATGCTGCTGACTCTTGACTTAATCTGATATTCCTGGATCAGCTTTCTGCCACCTACTAGAGTCACCAAACACCTCACAAAGTAACTTCATCTTCCCCTCACACAAAAATACATGCTGCTCATCCTGCAGCAAGGCTGACAGAGAGCATCAAGCTCTGCCTATTGCTTCCCTGCCTCTATTCCCTGTATAGTTGCATCCTAACCAGTGAGATGAATTTCTGGGTCTCAGATGACATCCTACATAGATGCATCTCTCACAAGGATGGAAAATGAAACCAGACCTTCTCCTTTCTGTGATTTTAGTAAAATGTTTCCAAGAGCACAAAGCAATATATGGGTATCTGACACGTCCTATATGGCTGCAGAATCTTGGCAAAAATACAATTCCTGAACTTAACCATAGCTAGCTGGCTGACACATTGCTCCTATTAGCCAGGGCCAGCATATATACTGGTGAAATCCCACAGCTGCTCGGTCAGGGACCAGTGGTGGGTAGGTATTTTGAGAGATAAGCCCTGAACAATGCCACCTGTATAGCATTACATGGTCTGTTCTCGCCTTTCTTGGTGTACAAAGCAGCTAAACGTTATCTCATCATCACAGCTGTCAATCTATTATTAATACTGTACTTTTGTTAAGCATCCAGGAAAAGACAGGGTCACTTGAGTGACTCACAGCTCTCCCTTCCCCACTCTTGCTCTCATTCTTTTAATTCTCATCCTACGACAAGGGAGCAATATAATTCTGAATGGAATTTAATATCACTCAGCCAGACAGTACCTTCACTGTGCCAATTCACAGGCTATGATCTGCTTTCATGGCAGCGTTTGCTGTTAACTCCAACCTTTGCACAACAGGAAAGCACAGAGGTACTCAGGATAAAGATCTCTCTTACATTTCACTACAATGATACATAATTATTATTAAAAGAGCACACAGATAGGTACTGGTTGGGCCAATGTAGACCTGAGATCTTGTCTGTATGACAGAAAACAAATTCTTGAAGGACCTGTGAAATTTAAAAAAACAAAAAAAGAGCAGGGACCCTCTGAACACTCATCCCTTGGTCCTTAAGGAAGTCATACAGGTCAGGGTCCAAATCATGCAGTTGTCCTCATGCTGCCAGCCCACTAATCAGCCAATTCTCACAAGGGTCATTGGGAAAACAAAAAGACCTCAGGCATGATGGCAGTATTTGAGTACAAAGGCTGCATCAGTGATAGAAGCCAAGTCAAAAAAAAAAAAAAAAAGAAGGGGGGAAACTATGGGACAGACTGAACTCTAGAGACAGTGTTGTAAGGGGAGAGAGAAAATGCATAACTGACTGCAGAGCTGCTCCAGCTAGAGCTTCTCCAACACATGGGTCTCTACTGGCTCCTCTCCTGTGAGATTCCTTCCAGAATTCCCTTGGGGTAAAGACATAAAACATCTCTTTGCTGGTTCTTATAAAAAAGCAGGAATTTTAAGTCCAGAAGACAATGGTGAGACAATAAATGCATCCATTTCAGCTATCATTCAGCCCCGGAAGGACTCTACTGACCCCAAGTGACTGCCTTCACTGAGAAGAGAAAAACAGAGAGGACAGGGCATGACGTAGAGACAAATCTACTTCAGTTTCACTCAAACGCTCAAACTTGTCACCTTAAAAACCAGTGAGGGAGCTGAACTTGCTTCCCACATTGAAGAAATTCATCTTAATTCCTTTTGTGGAATTAAGATGAAGGATGCAAATGTTTTACATAGTCTGCTAAACATAACTCCCACTCCTCTAATGACAGGAAGCACAAAGCTTGCTTTCCTGTTGCTTATGCTTCATCGTCACAAAAATGAGACTTTTAAAGCGCGCTGGCTCCCAGCGAGGGTTGCTAACTAGTGCCCTGACGCTACTCATGAGATCTGGACACGTGTCTGAAAAGGTGATCCAAAACAGCTGTGCAAAGTACAAATGCTGTTTTGTGGATTTTCCAACCTTACTTTTGAGACGCTGTAGGAGAAAGGGGGAGTGCGCTAGCCTTTTTTCGAATATCCTTTTCTTCATGTACCAGTCTGCATTTCTCCCTCATCTCTTCTGTGGTATGGGTGATTTGGGTCAGAGGAGATGCTCATGGAGCTACTGGTGTGGGATTCAGAAACCATTTTGACACCAAGGGCAAGTACAAGGTGTCCAGTGGGTTAGGATCTCTTTGTTGCTCTATAATTGTTTCCCTGGTTATCCCTCTGTAATGTAATTTAATTCATAAAGAAGTCTCTTACCAAAAGGCCCACACAATGCATTGTAGATACAAAGAGCAAATGATACTCTGATTTAGAGGTTAATTTGGATGTGAGTTTGATCCATCACAAGGATTATGATTCAAACTGCAGGAGCAAAATTGACATATAGGTTGTTTTGTTTTGCTTTCTTCTTAAAAGCTTTTCATTAACAATTTTATTTCTCAAAAAAATGCAGCTCTTTAAACATATAGCAATCATCTCTTCTCTCTCAACCCTGATTCTTCAGAAGGAGGTGTCCTTCCTCTCAGGTGACATCTCCCACTACTCCTTGCTCCATTCTCTTCTGGCAGGACCTAACACTCTGGCATCAGGCAGCAAAACCCTCTGGAATACACTGTCCTTACTTCTTTGTGAAACTAGGAGGGTATTTACTTGCTTGCTCATAAAAAAAAGGCTAAGAAGAAACTCATGCTGCCAGGGAGCAGGCCAGCAGCAAAAAGGTATAGCTGTGAGGAAGATCATTTCACTGCAGGGCACTGCTGCGAAGAGTCCCGCTGTGATGGTCATATTGTAGCTGTAGCTGTGTTCAAAGTGGTGATGGGTGAGGAGGGGAAAGCACTGCTCTAACACATTGTCTCTCCCTCTTCCTCTGCTTTTCAACTACCAGTGCTTGGCTGTTGGCTGTCACTATGTGCTGCAGAGTCCTTCTTTGCTTGCCCTTCCTCCTGCAAGTGTAACAGTGGTAATTTGGAAGTGGACTGCAGCGGCTTGGGCCTCTCTGCCATCCCCTCAGACATCCCCACAAACACCAGGACCTTCCTTTTTCTCAATAACAAACTCAGCATCCTGCCAGGACCAGTGTTTTCCAATCTCTCTGCCCTACAGAGGTTGGACCTATCCAACAACTTCTTGGACCAGCTCCCTCAGAACATCTTCAGTGACCTGGGAAACCTCACGGAGCTCCAGCTGAGGAACAACAGCATCAGGGCGTTGGACAAGGACCTGCTCCAGCACACGGCCCTGCTGCGCCAGCTGGACCTCTCCATCAATGGCCTGGCCCAGATACCCTCGGGCATCTTTGATGACCTGCCTGCCCTCCGCTCCCTCTCTCTCAGGTCTAATCGCCTGCAGAGCCTGGATAGGGTGACCTTTGAACCTTTAACCAGCCTGCAGCAACTCCAAGTTGGGGATAACCCCTGGGAATGCGACTGCAATCTCCGAGACTTCAAGCACTGGATGGAGTGGTTTTCCTACCGAGGTAGGTGCTTGGGCAGGGTGAGCAAAGCATGGCATGGGAGATGGACTGCTAGCTTTTCAAGGAAAGGCAGACAAAGGCAGGCAGGGAAGAAACATAGGCAGACATATCTGGCAGATCAGGCTGACCTAAATTCCAGATCTTTGCCAAGGAACAGCAGGGCAGGGCTATAATACTAAGAGACTGTGTAGCGCTACTGTAGTGTGATAACAGTTAATGTCAGTCCTGAGAAGGCCCATGCAATCCCAGATTCCCTGTTTCCTAGTTTTGTTTCAAATCGCAAAGACTACTCTTTTTTTTTTTTTTGAGGGGAAAGATCTTTCCTCAAATAACTTGAACGTTTTGGCACTGTCTGTTTGCTTCACCCCTTCTGCCAAAATTAAAGAAGAAATACTTTTCAAGCTTCAAAATAACTGACCAGTTCACTTCCTTATGCTAGGAGAACTAAAAGCCAGATTTGTCTGAAAAGCATGAGGCTTGCCTTCAACAAAACAAGCATAGGAAACAGTGCCACTTAGGAAAATATTATAACCAGTACGTTCAAATTGCCAAGTCAGGCCCTAAGTCAGACTGGCTATAAAAATCATTATTTCAGAACAAGCATTTTTTGACAACTTCATATTTCCAGTTTTTCCTTGAAATATTGAAGGCTAGAAATGTGTAGATTACTAGCAGGAATTCGGATGGAACAACACGATTTCAGGAGCTGGGATTCTAAGAAAAATGGCACATTTTACAAGAATGACGACCGAAGGCCTCACCTTCTGTCACTGAAGCCACTGAATAGCAAAGGGTCTCAAATCATGTGGATAGCAACAGTCAGCTGTCATATGCCTGCTGATCACAGCCATGCTGCAAAGAGATTATCTGTGCCTACGGCTAGACTGTAGTTTGAAATATGTGTTTGTGTGAGCAGAACCAAACGAGCAAGCATATGAACGCTACTTTTCGCTTTTGGGGGGTTTGTTTTCTTTCTTGACTCTCATATTACAGAGTTGATAAAAAGCACATAGAGTTAATTTTGCCTTTTTTTTTTCCCCTTCAAAAGAAATTGCCCAAACTCGCTGAAGCATTTGTTTCAACATCTGTCACTATTTTCACAGAGGGGGGATGGATTAGTTGTTAGAAAATGGGACTCTGTATCTGCTGTTATTTTAAGAAGATAGGTCCTGATCCTATCTTTCTGTTTTAATTTCTCCTTTCCTAAAATGCTGCTATTGACACTTACATAACTCAGTAAACAGTGTGAGGCTGACTTAATAGATGGTTTCAAAGGGCTTTCATGTCTTGGCCTGAAAGCCATCTACACAGATATCACGCACCATGAGCTCTACTGTCAAATCCAACCTAGGTAGAAGCATCCCAGCCAGCTGCCATGGTTGAAACCTCTTCACGGAGGGCTAAGGCATGCCAAACGTCTCCCAGTTAGGCAAAACAACCTTTCTAAAGGACATCATGTGTGCTCCCTCTGCCCTGTCTGCCCAGTGAATGGAGGTGCAGCCCTTCCTCCCTCCCACCACCTTTGGGATCTGGCAGGATGTGGGGGCAGCAGCACCTTTTGACTCCATCTTATCCTTGAACTCTAGAAACACCCCATGCTGGATCCATGGCTCCCTTTTGGGGTAGGAAGAAGCTCTCTGAATCCGCTCTCCACTCAACAAAGCATTCACACGTGAGGGACTAGATTTTACAAGCACTAACAACATAACAAAGTGGTTGCACACTTGAAAACCATAATGCTACAATACTTGTCTTCTGTAGGCTGTGTTTAAATGCGCTGCCATAGCACTGTATCAAGATGCAGCTGTAGTTCACTCCTATTATCTCTGTTGGGACAGGTGGGAAAATCGACCAGCTGGCATGTACTCTGCCCAAGGAGCTGAAAGGGAAGGATATGCGAATGGTGCCCATGGAGATGTTTAACTACTGCTCACAGCTGGATGACGAGAACAGCTCTACTGTGCTGGACAATACCGGTCCACCCTGTACTAAAGGAAGCCCAACTCCTTCCAAATCTAAATCGGGCCCAGAACCAGAGGTGGAGCCCAGTGTAGGTTGCCCTCAGAAACAGCGATACAGGCCTGTGAGCGTGCGCCGGGCTATTGGCACTGTGATCATCGCTGGGGTGGTTTGTGGCATTGTGTGCATCATGATGGTGGTGGCAGCAGCTTACGGCTGCATCTACGCATCCCTCATGGCCAAGTACCACCGGGAGCTGAAGAAGAGGCAGCCACTCATGGGTGACACAGAGGGGGAACATGAAGAGCAAAAACAAATCTCTTCTGTGGCATGAAACCCTTCTAGGAAGGCAAAGACAGCAATGAACAAAGGTACCTGAGAGCTGCCAAGCGTGGGGTCCTCCTGAAATACATCTTCCCAGACAGACAGACAGACAGACAGACTGTGCTATTGCTCCACTCACCCAAGTAGTGCAACATGCTTCTGGGGGGTCAGGGCACCTGGCTCTAGTTTCTGTTCCTCTGCCCCAGGCCCCTTTTGTGACCTTCCACCCTTGGGCCCTTCCAGGCAAATAAAGTAGAGTCAGACCTTGAGTGCTTGCTGTGCCTCATGCCCTTGCACAGACCTTCCCTCAGTTGCCTGCTTTGGCAGCAGCTGGCATCTTCTGGGAAGCCCTGTCATCCCCTCAGCTTCAGGACTGAGTCCTCCTGTGTCCTGCCCAGAGCTCTCTGCAGAGAGAACAGCTCTGTGAAAGCTCATATGAGGAACAGGACACCAAGCAAGTGTCCATGCCTCACTGTTAGGGTCACTGCTGTTGCGTGACAGCAACTTGCTCCTCACCTGACAAGTCAGTGTGGTCGAGGGCACATTAGAAAGGATGGAAAGTCCCTAGGAGATGACCACTGTCTGAGGGAGATTCTCCTTCTCACTTTTAGAGGTCTCCAACACTGCCTGGGAGCAAAAAGTCCCTCTTTTTGCTCCTGGCCAAGGACAAGTCTACAAGCTGACATATGCGTCATCCTTTATAGGCACCCAGAGACAGAGCCATGCTCCTGTACACACATACACACACACACACACACCCACACACACACATTGACTCATTCTGATCCCAACACACATACACAGACTCCCGCTCCATACATCCAGGCACCCCATCTGTGCATGGAGAACCACATGTGCACAAACTGATCTGCCCTGTGCATGCAGCCATGAACACATTTAGCCACTCTAACTTGTTTTTATTATGATAGTGCATAGCACCTTCTGGTTCAGAGAAAATTCATGAACCCTGCCACTGAGGAGCTAACAAAAACATCTTGGCCATAGTGCAGAGCTAGTGGGAAGGAGCAGAAGAGGATAGAGAAAGGCAATTTTATTAAGGTTATAGCATGAGTCAGCAAAGATGAGTACAGAGCATGACAAAAGGTGTGTTTTTGTTATCTATTTTATGTTTTCTATGATAAATGGAGAGGGTGAATGATACAAAGCCTCCATCTGCAAGTGTTAGAAGGGCAGAGAGCAAAAGTGGGTCATCAGGAAAGACATAAAGGAGAACGTGGCTCACCAGCCTAAGTAGTGCAAGCCATGCTGAGAGGTGGTGTGGCCTAAGGGGGAAGTGGGGGCGGAAGAAAACAAACAGCCTGAGAGATGGCTGGCGTTGCTGGCAGAGGGGCAAGCATGGTGCATGGAGTAGGACAATGTGGCTGGGGTGACTGCAGAAAGGGGGCACAATTCTGGAGGGTCTTGAGGTGAGGGCAAAAATCTGGACCACAGCGTGGCACAGGAAGGAGAGCCCACATGACGTGGCACACAGCACGGCGCACATACGCCCACCTCACAACCACTACTATGTTCACCACCATCCGCAGCTGCACATGAGCGTGCCCATACACGCAGCTGCACATATTGCCACTGTCATGTAGGTTAATTTTCCCCAAGCAGATTTTAAAGCCCTCAGATTGCAGTGCCTCATATTAGTCTCAGCTCTTTTCAACCTGACAGGAAAAAAATAAAAGTGAGAGCGGAAAAAAAAAAAGGAAAGGAACCTAACATAAGGACTCACTTTATATCACTGGAAGTGGGATAAAATGCTGTCGCCAGGGGAGAGCGCACATTGCCATGGTAACTGCTCTAACCTGTCACAGTGGGTATTCCTGGGCTAGGAAGATGACACCAGAGGTCGTGCATCTACAATGCCTGTGGATGGTGTGATCCTCACCGTTAGGAAACAAGCTGGTAGCAAGTCCAGCTTTGCAGGGTGTTTCACTAGTAACCTGTGTGAGAGGCCGGCATGCACTACAGGTGGATCCTGCCAGGGCATGGCACTCTTCTCTCTGCTCCAGCCGAACCCTGATGCCTTTGGATGTCTCGCAGAGCTCCTGCTCAGTGCTGCTGGATCCCTGTGGAAGTGATTCACGCTGGCTCTTTACCCCCTTCTGGTCCCAGCTGGGTTGTTGTACTAACGTACTAACCCATGGGAACACAACGCCAAGTCTTTAATCTGAGCTTAGAGTGGCACAGTCCCTCCTGACCTGCCCAGGACCACCAGAGGCAAAGAGACAGGACTGTTTTCTCATGACTTTCCTTTGATACAAGGACGCAGCAGACAAAGGAGGATGTTCTTCAGGAAGCAGAAGACCATGTTGCCCTGGAAGAAGGACTGGGAGAAGCAGTCCGCCCACAAGTGTGTGCGCACACCATACCCTTTAACTCCCCCCCTGCCCCACATGCTGCGTGTCAGGAGGAGGAAGAGGAGGAGGAGGAGGCGGCGGCAGGGGGCTGGCGAGATGTGAGGAGAAAAGACTCTCCCCCCCATGCACTGTATAGCGACTCAAACCATCCCATCTGCTGCAACCGTAGTCCATTCTGAAGGGCAGAACTGGTACACTGCAGACTCCTTATGTGTATTACTGCTGCTCCACATTCCCAGCAAGCCAGGACTAGACTAACTGCTGGATCCAAACGTCTCTCCAACCCCCCTCTCAGGGGAACTTCTCTCTTTACCATACTGGACTCCGCAATCATACTTGAAATGGGACTTGAGTCAGAGCAGTATATTTATAGATATATATTTTACTTGCATCAAATAATGGTGAAACATTGCACAAAACAATTGGGGTGTGGGGGTGGGGGCGTGGGGTGTGTGTGGAGAGAGAGAGAGAGAGGGAGAGAATAAGAATGTTTTTAAGGGGATAGACTAGAGGTAAAATAAATGGGAGGGAGGCATGGGAGGATGTGAGGGGGAAATTCCCCTTTCCCTGCACCTCCCCTGTGACCTGCTCTTGCCCTGACAATTTTTCTTTGTTGCTAATAATATTTTCCACATCCTGTGTTGTGGGGCTGATGATGACCGTGCCCATCCTTTCCTCTTTGTTTTCAGTTATAAGGCAGAAAGTCTGGATTCATCTCAACCCTAGACAAGGGACTGCTATGTTTAGAAACTCAACCAGGAAAGGAGAAGACAGGAAAAGGGAGAAAAGAGAGCTGCTGAGAAACATGAAGGCTGGATGCTACGGGGAGTCCCACTGGAAAGCAAATCCTGTACTTTGAAGGACAAAGCGCTGTCCTCTTTCATGCAGAGCAGAGTAACAGGGTTCACTGGGAAATGCCCTCTTTATACCACTGCTTGCAAACAGGCTTTTTCTCTGCTCCCGAGCACACCTAGAAAGCAGGCTGCGCTAGTGGGACTAAACTTTTGCACTGTCAGCAGGCACCTCTGGGGAGCATGGGATCCAACACGGTCAGAAGCGAAGCTCTCCTGCGAGATGCTGGATGTAGGAGAGCCAGTGCTCCTTGTATGCTCAGGAAAGGGGCTCCTCTGGCGTGTGAGGCGCGGGCGCTCCCACTCTCCCTGCAGGCACGGTTGGGCACGGGCGATGCCACTAAACGCACCCTTTGCTGCAGGCAGGAGCACCAACACCACCTGCATGTGTCTGCCCTCAGGAAACACTCTTCGGGGGCAGGCAGGCCCAACCAACATGCCCCGGTGATGTGGCCCTCAGGGGCAGGCAGGCCCACCAGAAATACCCATTCTGCTCCCCCCTCTCCCCCTCCCCACACACCCACCTGCGGTGCAGGCAGGCTCATTTCTTGCAGGGAACAGATGGCGCTTGTAATTTCTTTTTCTTTTTGTTACTGTTTTGAGGGAGAGCAACAAGATTTTCTAAAATGGTTGAATGGAGGTTTCTTTGGCATGAGACAGAAGATTTTTAAAGGTATATTATATTTCTGGCTTGTTGTTACAGAAGAATAATAAAGAATGTATTTTCCTATGCTCCTCATTGTTTAAATGAGATCACTGATAGTAACCTCCCCTTTCCCCCGTCCCCTGCAAAAGCAAATACTGCAAACACCGCAGCCAGCTAAAGGAAAAAGCCCCTGAACTTCCACATATGTGTACACTTGTCTGCGCACACTGTTTCAGCTTGGAATGAACACGCGCATATATACACACACATGCACCTTCAGAGCAAGTCCTCGGCAAGCACGTGTCTGTAGTCGGGTGAGGCTGTAGGACGAAGTACACAGTCACTCAAGGTGAGACGCCCAGATCTAGAAACACACACACACACACACACACACAGGCTCCAGGGACAAAGCCTGACAAGGGCGATTGTGTAACAAGGATAAGATACTGTGGCAATCGGTTCATTACATAAAAGTCAAAAGGGCCAAATTAATCCCTCGTGTAAGAACGCGGAAGCCAGTGGAGTTATATTCAGGTCAAATTTGTTTCCAAAAGCCTTTTTTTTTTTTTTTTTTTTTTTAAATTAGAGCATAACATTAAAGAAAATCTACTGTAACAAACAGTGAGCTATGGTTTCCTACATCTCCAGATTTCTGGCCATCCTGAGCAGGGTTATTTTAAAATGAATGAAAATTGCTAGCTAATCCTATTGCACCCCCAGCTACACAGGCTATCACCCCTAGAGATAAATGAGTCTCTCCACCAGCTGTTCACTAGCTAGGTCTATCACGCACAGCTAAGAAGTTTAAATTCCCCACTTTTCCAGAAAAGTGCTATACATATGCAATTCATCACATACTCTTCCTGTGACAAAAAGCTGATTCTGAGGCATGTGGAATCTCCAAAGATGTTAAAACCACCACAAGCAAACCCTTGTGACACCGTACTCACCCTGTTACACCCAGTCTGATCTTCAGGGAGAAACTGGGAGCAGAACCCAGGTACTCCTAATCTGATAACAACAGCTGAGGGATCTGTTCGGTTGAAAATGTACTGCCATGACAGAATTGCCATTACTATTATTTAACAGTATGGTATCTATGACACACAGTTTAATCTCATTTTACCATCCAGGCACACAAATGCTACTAAGCAGTTCACGCAATACCAGAAATATAGAGCTGAAAAAAGCCAAGCCAACACAGTCATCCGATGACTCTTAACTTTTTCTGTTCACAAATTACCTGGGAGCAGCCTGTGATTTTCTGCAACTTGATCATCTTTCATTTGCCAAATGTATTCACCATGTATACATATCTACTCACATACACATGTCATTCCATACATATATACATGTGTAATTATGTATATGTATATTTAATGCATGTAAAATATATAAAATAGAATACCTCCTCAGTATATTGCTCATCAGCAGCCTGATGTGCAGGCTTGAAGTGTTTGCTAGCTCTGATTGGAAACACAGGTCAGAGGGTCAGTTTCCACCCTCTCATTAGATAAGGGCAAGTCCTAGCATAGGATTTCTGGGGACTGAAAATCCTACCCTCCAAGAAAATTGTATAACCTAGACAAAAGAATAAGCATTCCCTGATGAGTACAGTTACAGAACTGAGCACAAGTAAATAAAAATTTCCTTTGTCATTTTGGGAGCTCCCCACACCATTAACAGCTCTGAAAGATGGAGACAAGGCAGCATCCTCACAGCTTCTCTCCCTTTGGAAGGTAGGGTCGAAGAAACCAACAGGAGCTAGACCTCTACTTCCCACAGTGGCACTGTGCTCGAGCCAGGCAGAGGCCAGGCACCAGGAGCCAAGGAAAAAGCAAACACAATGCTAAGAATAAGAGTCTGCCTTGCGTGAAGATCCTGGGCCAGCACAACAACACGCTGCTCTTTGCCTGGGGCTCAAAGACAAGATTTAGCCCTTCACATTGGCTTTTTCTGTGTTCTCACTTCAGAATAAACTTGTTTGTTAGAACACCTGCAGAAAGTCAAGGCGTAAAGGGCACAGAAAGAGTGACAAATTTAGGTATTTTATTTGAGAAAATGCGCACAGACGATACACTGAGATATTCACCCAGCTCTGCATAAAGCTCAAGGGAAATATCCAGAGTAACAACAATGCTTTGCATTTCTATCCTGCTTGCCTTTGGCAGCTCTCTGGGAGCTTGCAAACATTAATGAATTCACAGAGGCAGAGATTCAGAGAGTATAAAGGCCAGAAGGGACTTTAGATCATCCAGTCTGACCTTCTGTGTATCGCATGCTACTTGGAAAGTGTGCAGAAAAGAACCACAAACGTTATTTGGGGGCGGCAGAAAATGCCTTGCTGTGAAAAGCTTAAAGAGCTCAATTTGTTTAGCTTATGAAACAGAAAATACAGAGGTTATCCTGTAGAAAGTCCAATAGTGTGCATTTACATTCAGCTGAAGTGAATTTTCCAGAAAGGCATCTACCTTTGATGTGAAAACATTCAAGAGATTAAAAGTCTCCTTTTCCCTTGGTACCTTATTACAATAACTGTTCTTGCTCACTGTTAACATTCACACTTAATATCTCATTTGAATCTGTCTGGTTTCAGTTTCCTGTCATGGGTTTTTGTTATGCTTCTCTCTGCTAGATTAAAAAAACACTTAGTAACCAGCATCTCTCCCTGTGAAGGTCCTTTTACACTAGTCAAATCATCTCTCCATCTTCTTTTTGGTAAGATAAGCAGACTGAGTTCATTAAGTCTTTCACTGCAAAGCATTTCCTCGTCCTTGGAACAATACTGTAGGCCTTTGTTGCGCTCTTTCCAATTTTCCCTCCTCCTTTTGAAAGTACGCCTCTCATC